TTTTTTTTTTTTTTTTTTTTTTAGTTGTATACAATTTTTGGTCACTTTACTTTTCTTATATAGACATTTACGCTGTTGACGGTGACCATGGTGAGTTGCTGGTGAGTTGTCCAATTAGTGTACAGAATATCGGATGGATATAAAGTTATTAGAAAGTTATAAACAACATGCCATTGGATCGCATGGAACCGTCCGGTCAAGAATTTTGCTGAGTAGCAGGGGCGGATTAGGGAAACATGATGTGGTGAGAAGAAAATTCTCTCTCTTCGTTTTGCTGCAGAAAGAGCTTAGAGCCTTACACCACTACCCGGGGGCTTGGTCCCCCTAGCAAAGTGGATCGAATTAACAACCGGAATCTGGACACGTCCTTAGCCAAGATGCAGAAGAGCAGATCAGTCACCGTGTTCTGCATCTGTCCTCAACGACGTCCAGATTCATGCATTCAATCTAACCTTTCGTGCCAGTGGGACCTTGCCCCGGTAGTACCTTTCCCCGCTTGGGATCTGGGGAGTGGGGGGGTTAACACGGAGGCCCGATTCGGCATCGGGCGCCGACGACATCCATCGGCCGCACTTGCCGCGCAGCTCCCCGCATCCGATGTAACTGCCCCCTGCACTTTTTCTTTTTCCGTGTCATCGAGTGCCCAGGCCCGGCAGATGTTTGGTGGGTAAGGGTACCACAACTGTTTTTCCTCACGGTGGCACTTTTTTTTTTTTTTTTTTTTTTTTTAATGAAAACCACGCTGCCATGCTAAGAGGGGTTGATATGAGCACCCCCTCCTAGCGGGCCACCTGGTTGCTCCAATCTATTGGTGGGGAGCAGCACCTGCTGGAAAACGACGGGTCCAGCGTCCCACTGAACATCTCAAGGCTGAATTTCACCGTCTCTCCTGCCAGCATTGATTGCCCGTTGCCCGTGTTACAGGTGGCAACACTCTAGATTTCAGGCTCGGAGTCGGGGAAATGCAAATTTCGGTTTGTAAGAACAGGTCCGGATAGAGTGGCGGTTTAACATCCAGCCCATCTCAGACTGGCTGAATGGTACAGACTACTACACACATGCAACTGTTCTTAAAACAGAACACGAGTTCAAATCCTGACAGAATCAGATGATCACAATAAAGGTAAGGGTTGCCTTCTGTCTAAACAGAGGGAGTTGGCGGGG